CGGCACGGCACGGCCCGAGCCCGGGCCAGGCACGGCCCGATCGGGCTCGGGCCCTTTTGGCCCGCCGGGCCACCGGGCCGTGCCTGAACAGTCCACCGTGCCTGTCGGACGGCCCAGGCACGGTCTGTGGGTCGAATATCGGGCCGTGCCAGCCCGTTGAGCCCGTGGCCCACTGGTCCATCGGGCCAGCCCATAGCCCGTTACACAGTAAACACCATATTTAACAGCACAATCACAGGTTCACATATTCATATTTAACAATCACAGAAACACTAGATGACAAAAGATTTGAGCTTTTTATGCAATGCCGCCTCATTAAAAACCATTCTAGGTAAAACTCACACCTCGTGAGATAAAACCCTAGAAAGGAAAATAGTACGACCAGCTCAATAAATTAAAACGGGCCTCCACCGGGCCGGCCGTTGTAAAACGGGCCGTGCCATGCCGCCCGACGGGCCGAGGCCTCAGCCCAAGCCCGGCCTGCTACGGGCTTCGGGCCGGCACGGGCCTGGTTAGGGTTTGGGCCGTGCCGTGCTCGGGTCGGGCCCAATAACCGTGCTTTGGGCCGGGCCTTTGGCCCACGGGCTGCATGCACATCTTTACGCACGAGGTCACCTTCGGCCATCCGAAACCACAAGGTCTCGGGATGACTTGGAATGAAGCCTGAAGTCCGTCAATCCCGTGAAGGGGACATAATTACAGGAGGAGTTTGATGGACACGAAATGGCCGACGTCTCAAAAAGTCAAATCCGATTTGGATTCTTGTATGTACTAAGAAAGGAGTAAAATGCAGCTACAACACTAGAAATATGCGTTGCTTTACTTAAAGGGAAAGACTATTCTAGTCCGCCAAATGTAATTTGGATACAGTCGCAAAAAATGTAATTTGGATACTATAAGTGTCTGTTTGGATTCTCTGGTCTAAAGTTTAGTTCGCCAAAGTTGAAGACTAAAACATTAGACCACTTTATCTCACTTGTGTGGTCTAAAATTTTTGTGAGGTTGTCTAAACTTTACACAACACTTTAAGCCTCCTATTTAGAGCCTCAAGAGCTGTACAAGTGTCATAAAGCTTAGTGGCTAAATTTTAGACTATGGATCAAAAGATGACCTAAATAGTGCTCTCCCGGGAGGGACAGGGTGATCCAACAACTTCAAACTTCACTGCTTACTTGCATTCGCACTACTTAGCATGAGCACTGTCCGAGACCTTGGTTGAGCGCAACAGCGACCGAGCCAAGTCTTGCCGAGGCGAGTGCTGGCTATAGATGGCCAATGGGCGGCTGCTGGCCCAAAGACGACACGGGCCGTGCTAGACCCTTTACCGATGGATAGGCCGATTTGGGCTTCATGTTCGGCCGATGACCCGAGGCATGACTTCTTTGGGCTGTTTTTCGTGCCGGACCAGCCCTGTAAGCACGGCTTGTGAAGCCTCTCGGGCCGGCCCAAGGCCCGCTTGGCACGGGGAGGCAGCGCCGCGGCGGTAGCAGGATCCCTCGCGGTCAGCGGCCTGGCGCCCCGCGGTCGTCGCTCTCAAGGCTGGCGAGCCTGTGGCCGTGGATGAGAGGGAGGAGGAGAGGAGAGAAGGGGAAGCAGACGACGAGCGGCGTGCTCCACGCGGCCGTAGCCAGGCGTGAACGCGCGACCTCCACGCGCAGGGCACGGTCGCTGCCGGTCTGCCTAGCCAAGCCGCCGCCGCAACCGGTCGCTGTCATGGAGGAGGAGCGAGATCTGGTGGATTTAGAGAGAGAGCGGGGGCCGCCAGCAGCGTGGAGGAGACGAGGAGGTCGTCGGTGCTTGAGGCCGCTCCGCTCGAAGCCGCCGCTGCGAGGGTGTGGAGAAAGAGGCCGAGGGGGCCACCGGCAGCGTGGAGGACGACGCGGACGGGGCCAGCGGCGGCGTGGAGGACGACACGGACGGGGCCGCGTGGATGAGGCGAGCGGGCTGAGCGCGACGCGTGCGCAGGGTGGGTGGGGGAGGGGGTTGCGCGCAGGCGAGCGCGAGCACAGAGAGCGAAGGGAGTGCGATGGCTGGGGGCTGAGGGGAGGAGAAAATGAAGTTAGGGTTGCTGCCGTGTTGCCGGCCTGATGGGTGCTGCTGCTGCCGTCTTCCACGTGAGCGGGCCGCCACCAAGCCGTACGCTGTGGAGCGGGCCGTGCCGTGCCGCCCACGTGCCTGAGGTAAGGCCCAGGCACGGGCTGTCCTCCGGACCGTGCTTGGGCCAGGCAAAAAAACAGGCCTCGTGTCGGACCGACGGGCTCGGGCTGCATGGCCGTATATGGTGCTGGCTGAGGCACTCCACTCCTCTCCGAGTCTGAGCACACGCCGCAGCCCCCGTGGGTCCGCGACGCAAACTTCTCTTCGTCCAGGTGCTCCCGTGTGCAGAGTCCGTGGGAAGCACCCGCAACGATTTAGCTCATGCGCTAGGCCGCTAGCGCTACCAAAAACGCATTTTGCGCTGTCGCCTCCTGTTTTTTTACAACAAACAATTTCATTTCAGCAGCAAGAAGCTGCAAGCAGACTAACAGACTGTAAGTTTACACATTCTAACAGACTGTAAGTTTACACATTCTAACAGACTGTAAGTTTACACATTGCAGTGCATCCAGGAGCGGGCACTGACTACGATGAGTACTATAAGAGCACACAGGCTGAAAAGATGAAGCAACAGCAACTGAGGCATGGAATGCCTATCTAGCTAAAGCATCAGCCGTAGTGTTAAGATTCCTATTGATTATGAAGATCTTAGCTTGACGTCGACCAGCGCAGTTCCTGAACAGCTAGGTGAAAGAATTGATCCTCCAGTCTGGAGGATGATTTTGATCCGCTGCGTTGAGAAAGTGAACTAGCTGCTGACAGTCAGATAGATACGTCGTGTTGTTGAAGTTGAGTCAGTCGTTGAGTGTTGCTGCAAGGGCTAGAGCCGCGGCCTCCGCCATGAGAACAGAGTGAATACCTGAGACATGAGCCCTGATGTAGATTATCTGTGTTAGGGTTGTACCTGTGGATTGACAAAGAACACTCCAAGTCCTGCTATTCTGGGTGGCAGAGACGATTGATCAGGTAACAAGGAGGCATCAGCATAGCACCTGGGAAGCAGAGATAGTGGCTCTGAAGTAGCCTGAAGAGTTTACAAATCACGTTTGTTGTTCGGCACCAAGTTTACATTGCACTACCTATTACAGAACACCAAGTAGCTGCTATTGCCCCCTGTCATCTCTTGGTGCGGCCCGTTTGGTTCTGTCACCGAAAGCGGTGGCGGATCCTGCCGGTCGCCGAAAGCGGCGGCCTTCTCTGCCTTCCAGTTTCGCAATCATGCGGCGTATGTGGGCAAAACACGGTCATGTTCTATTATAATCCATCACCAGAGTTCGCTTCACAGCTCGCTCTTGGCCTGCGTGAACTGGGCCGGGTACTGGTGTGACCGGATCATGTACACCCTCTATCTAATGTGAACACGTGATCTTGAACACGCAATTCCTGTTTGACGCTAGTAATTGGGCCGGCAGCAATGCATGGATTCCTTGCGTGCATCTTCCGAAGATGGTTACGGTTAGTTGGGATTGGTACCTTCCTTGCAGACAAAACCAAGATGCATCCGTCCATAAATCAAAGAGGGGGCCACGGATTTGGCTTCTCGTAAACAACTTCTTTTTAATTTCCGAAGCACTAGCTCCTGGACATCGACGCCACTAGCGTGTCCAGATGCAGCTCTTAGTCTCAGGCAACCAAACCGTGGTTCAGCTTTCAGTCACAGGCCTACCAACGAGCGCATCCCATCTAACCATCCCCGCGTAACAGAAAAAGTGAACCAAAACACTACCTACCCGCGTAACAGGGGAGGAGAGCGTGCGCTCGCGTCCGCTCCGCCATCCCCTGCACGCCCTCTCCTTAGTCTGAGAAAGATGCAAGGCACAGCAGAAGGTGAGAAGGAGACATCAAAGGCGAGGCAACAGAAGGTGAGAGAGAGATCTGAACACCCGATCTACTTTTAAAATATCCAGATACAACACTTACAACATACGTTTGAAACATACATCATCTGAAACACTTAAAAAAAAACACATAAAACACTTAAAAAAACATTACAACACATACTCAACGTCCGGATAAAACCCGTCACCTCCGTCCGGATAAAACCCGTCACCTCCGAGACCGATCGAGCCACGTATCGCTAGCTGCACAAGAGGTGAGGTGAGCCACGCGCGAGCGCGCGCATATATAAGAGAGCTGGGGTTGTCTAGCTAGTGTTCTTCTTCCACAGCACAAATCACAAAAAATGGACGCTCCCGCGGCGGCCCAGGGCGGCTGCGGCAATAAGCACATTGTGCTGGTCCACGGCGCGTGCCTGGGCGGCTGGTCCTGGTTCAAGGTGGCCACCCGCTCCGCGCGGCAGGGTACCGCGTGGATGCGCCGGACCTGGCGGCGTCGGGCGTGGACCCGCGGCCGCTGCTGGGAGGTGCCCACGTTCCGGGACTACACGCAGCCGCTGCTGGACCTCCTCGCGTCGCTGCCGGAGGGCCACCGCGTGGTGCTCGTCGGCCACAGCCTCGGCGGCGTGAACGTGGCCCTGGCCGCCGAGACGTTCCCGGACAAGGTCGCCGCCGTGGTGTTCCTCTGCGCCTTCATGCCTGACTGCGCGGCGCGGCCGTCGCACGTGATGGAAAAGGTGAGAGGCCAGCCGCGATTGGCCGGCTGCTCTCTTCCTAGATTCGAGATGTTCCCCGCTCCTGGTGGTGGTGTGTGTCATTTTCGTGAGTTTGCCCGTCGAGAAGATCGATACGAGATGTCTTTTTCTGGTAGAAATAGAGTAAAGCGACTGGTCCACTTGCTACGATGACTCGATGAACAATGCTTGCTTCCTGTTCAGTTGTTCGTATGGAACAGCGCTTTTTCAGCGTGAATGAATTTTACTCAATTTGTTCAAAAGAAAATGAGGAACTGATCATTGTTGTGTCTATCTCTCGCCTTTTGATTTTTGATGAAACGAATGAATGAAGTTCGTGGAGGGGAAGTGGCTGGACTCGATGGACACGGAGATGAAGCCCCAGGACGCCGAAGGCAAGCTCCCCATGTCTATGATGTTCGGGGCCCGGATCATCCGAGAAAAGTTCTTACAGCTCTGCTCGCCCGAGGTACGTGCCTCTCGTGCCTATGCACGAGTCTGATTTGTTTATCTTTCGTGTGAGTCAAGCTAGTTGCATTTTTTTCGCCGCTCATGCGAATCGAGTTGAAAGGGAAACGTTCGTCGATCACTGGATCAGTAGCTACTAGCTAGTGTGCATCAAAGAGGACACCATGTCCATTCGCGTCGGCGTCATCCTCGACTTAAAGGACAGCTATTTTGGCTATTTGCACGCGCGCACAGTGAATGGAGTTAATATCGCTGTGCATGCCAACTGCCGTGGATGGACCTTGACGACGAACAGCACCGTACCTATTCATTGTCGACAGCCATAGTTTATTATTATTATTATTAGAAGGACCATCTGGACGTAGGTATCTGTCAACACTCGCCACATCTGTGGGCAGTGGGGCAAAATCTGTCAACAACTTAACACATTCTTGGCCAATCAGGTGTTGCGGTGCCACAAAACTCCTTGTCTGGATGTGTATGTATTTATCTTATTCCACGCGTGTTAAAGTGGATTGGAGTAGAATTAAATTAAGTTCTGTTCCATTCCACTTCAACACATGTGGATTGAAGTGAATATGTTGAGACTTGCGGTCTCAGACTGTGAGGAAGTGGTAGGGGCCTCCGTCCGATGAGTGCAGTAATCGGGCGGAAGCTTGGAAGGGTAGGCACGGCAAGTGGACGTGTAAGGGAGTGACACGTAATGCTATGGTTTCATTAATACCTTCACCACCCACTTGTACTGTTACAAGTGTTCCCTATTTATAGGGCTCAATTATCGTCTTTGCAGTATTTACAACAGTGCTCCTCAACTGCTACAGTACATTCTGGGAATATTCCTCTACTTGCTCTTTGTCTCTGGGGTAATCTTGCCACGCCGCCATCAGATACTGGGCCTGCGTGACCAACCGGCCTAGCGGGCCTCAGGATTCATTGATGGGTCTTTGGCCCTCCACCGTCGCTCTCCGCCCTGTCTAGCCCCAGGGTTCGGCGATGAACCCTCGGGCCCCCGCCTGCGGTCTCCGCCTCAGGGACGCCGAAAGCCACCGACCTCCGACGCCCTGTTCAGTCGTGCTCCTGCTCGGGCCTCCGTCCATATGAGCGGAGGCCGAACCGAAGCGCCAGCGCCATCCATGAGCGCCTTCCTTTGCTTACCTGCACACACATATTAGACGTTGGCATTTGATTAGCCTATCAGTGGGGCGGCCTCTGCCCTCTTCGCCCGGAGGTGCCTGCGCGCCTAACGGGCGGAGGCTGCGCCATGATTGCATCTGGCGTCCTGAGAGCTACCGAGAAAGAAATTATCTTTCTAGGTCAGGGAGTGCGGAGGCATGGTGGCTGGGCCTTCGCTTAGGTGATCGGTCGGAGACGTCTCTGCGAACTGCTGACCGCGTAGGTCTCCGCTACTCTCGGAGGCCGTGTTACAACAGAATACACATACATCCAAACAAGACCTAAACAGAATCGGATAGAAAACATATAAAAAAGATATGTCAAATATCAAAAAGGCCTATTGAATGAACACAAAAAACTGGTAAAAACGGATAAAAATATGTCAAGTAACAAACCATAGCTCTTTTTTGGTGTGTGTGGTAACAATAGCTCTTCACCACTTTGTTAGTCCTGTCTTCAAGTCTTCCAGCATCTTCTCCAGGTGATGTATCATCCCTCCGTCCTCGCTAAGATCTTCCATTCTGTAAACAAACCCAAAAGCCTTGTAGTAAGCATTATGTTTAGTTGATTTTGCCATTTTATTTGAGAACACCGGATTATTCTTGGTTTTCCAAATTGTCCAACACATTCCGGCTAGCACGAAATTCTACAAAGAAGTCAGGCTACAAGGCCAATTCAGGCTATCTCTGATCCAGCACCGGGTGACCATAGCTACTGAGCATTTGAAAAGTAAATGGTTAAGAGCCTATCTGGGACTGTTCCATTCCACATTTTTCAGTTTCGCTCCATATTTTTCAACCAAATAGGTGTAGCTTAAAAAAATAGAGTTAAGAGAGCACCTAAAAAACGTGCTTCAGATTTTTTTTTTTCTAGAGTTACTTCACGGTGGAATTTGTGCAGCAATTTTAAAGAAGTCCTGGCTGTCTCTTCCGGTCCTCCCTTCCACACGCGGCGTGCTGATGCGTGTCATAGCCTTGTTATCAGGTGCAAATCACTTCCGCATCTTAAAAGCACACGCAGCGTGCTGATGTGTCGTCACCTTATCTACAGGACCTCACGCTCGCGGCATCTCTGCTGAGGGTGAGCTCGATGTTTGTGGAGGACCTGGTGCTCCAGCAACCCTACACCAAGGAAAGGTACGGGTCGGTGCGCAAGGTGTACATCGTGTGCACGGAGGACCACGGCATCGTGGACAAGTTCCAGCGCTGGATGGTGGAGAACAACCCGGTGGACGAGGTGAAGGAGATCGCGGCGGACCATGTCGTGATGCTCTCCAGGCCCGACGAGCTGGTGCGCTGCCTCACCGACATCGCCGACAAGTACGCTTAATTGACGACGCTATCAGCAGCTGTGTGTTGCTTCTCGTCGGTTGAGCAGGCTCTGCATGCATGCCGTGGTGTTTTAACTTGTTGCATTCGGTTTAATTTTTTTTCCTGCTGTTTTTGAATCAGGATTGACCAGAATTTCTCGACGCGTGGTGTGAAATCGTGTATAATGCTATTGAGGCTTGCTAATAATCTGTATTCGCCAGGGGGGGAAATGTGTATACTGAGGCTCTCGTTCTGGATACCTGTAACGATTAGGTTTATCTTTGTGGCGCTGTCTAGAGGTCCAGTACTCCACCAGTGTCCAAATTTATCTCCGTTGGAACTTCCGTGTGTCCCTGTCGATCTGCTCCTCTCCAACCCCTCATGTGCGACTCTCCAATCTTTAATTGGCTAACTGCTGAAGCGCATGTCTTGGACCATACAGTCATTTGACAAAGCCGTCCAGCCCCGCAATCTGCTGCTGTACAGCTGTGTAGGTTGCGAAGTTGAAGGCAAGCAGGACAATTTGTCCGGTAGGCCCCCACCCATGATGTGCGATTGAAGTTGAAGGCAAGCGGGACAATTTGTCCGGACCAAAACACACCCCCACCCAGCGGTGGCCATATATACTGGTCTCTCTCTCTCTCTCTCTCTCTCTCTCTCTCTCTATATATATATATATATATATATATATATATATATATATATATATATATATATATATATATATATACACACACACACACTGCTCCTCTTCAATCCCCAAGTGCGACTCTCCGATCTTTAATTGGCTAACTGCTGAAGCGCATGTCCCGGACCATACAATCACTTGACAAAGCCGTCCAGCTCCGCAAACTGCTGCTGTACAGCCGTGTAGGTTGCTTCCTGATGTGCGATCGAAGTTGAAGGCAAGCGGGACAATTTGTCCGGACCAAAACACGCCCCCCACCCAGCGGTGACCATACAATCTACTGTAAGTTTAAGAAAGGTGAAAAACGAGCCACATAGCTACACAAGCCACGTAACTACACACGGGTTTAGGGAGAGAAGTCATTAGATGAATGGTGCGGCGTCAATAAAGGTTTTACAACTCTAAAATCAAAGCACAAAAATGATGAAAATGAGGGACAACGGATTGAGGGTCTGGGGAGACGGTGGGAGAAACGAAGGAAGACGAGTATTGTCTGCCAAACCAGACGGCCATCACGCTGATTGGTTTCTAGGCTGATAAACCCGGCTAGTGCTGGTTTGTTGTGAGAGGAAAACACTATTGGCTGGCTGATAAGCTCTGTCTGAAACCAACAAGCGAATAGGCTATTGAGAGACGGGGGAGAAAGTCTGGTGGTGGAAGAAACGGAGGAAGACGGACAACCAAGCGGCCACCAAGAGCACTCTGTGGCGCATACTTCTACCCCGGCTCTGTGGAAAATGTGGGTCGAAGAAGTTCACGTTTGCTCAATTGCCCAAAGCAACCAGAACCGGGCGGCCATCAAGATCGCTCCGTGGGTCGATGGAGTTCACGTTTGCTCAATTGCCCAAAGCAATCAGAACCAGGTTCATGAAACTTTGCAGGAGAACAAATAAAGCCCGAGGTCGTTGTACAACTGCCTCCGCTAGAATTCCTAAAAGAAAACCGGCTAAACAAATCTTATACACATATATACAGTAGTGATAAAAAAATCTAAAAAGACTTTTCTTTATTTTTGAATTCTAAAAAGTCATTTCTAATCTAAAGATTAAAACAAAGAAACTGAAAGGAAACCGGATAAACAAATCTTATACTAAACAAATCTTATACACATATACAAAAATAGAAAGCTAAAAAGACACTTCTAATCTAAATGATAAAACAAAGAAGCTGCATCTGGGCCTACCTAGCAAAGTAGGGACGTCCAGGCCTGATATGGACGACATAAGAAAATTAGCCCGAATTCAATCTTATAAATGCTATATGCAATAAAAGATTAATCTTATATGAAAGAAAATTGACTTCAGGTTGACTCGGGCTAAATAAGCGGCTATTGTGCATAGCTATTTTGAGACTGAGAAAGGTGGAAGATGAATCACATGCTCACATGACTCAAGCTATATTGTGATACATATGGGCTCGGGTCCAATCGTCTAGACCATGGCATGAGTGATGCGGCGCTGGCAAAGGATTTTGCAGCTCCAAACAACCAATAGATGGAAGAAAATGAGTGAGAACGATGGTGAAAGCGAGAGCAATGAGAGAGAAACGATGGAAGAAGATGAGTGAGAACGATGGTGAAAGCGATAACAATGAGAGAGAAACGAGGGACCAACGAAGAGAAACTTTCACTCTTTATTATTATTACTACTACTACTACTATAGCAAACATGTTCATGCGTTGCAGCAGAAGAAAAAAAAGCTACCAAACATTTATGAAAAATATGTCAATTAAGAAAGCTCAATAAGCTTGTCCAATTGATGGTATCCGCCCCTAACCTGGCGGAGGCATTTTTTGTTTCAAGAGCTCAAAGTCCACCCCATCGACCTCCG